TTGGGTTTTTAAAATTGATTTTAGGGCGCATGGAGCAAATAGAAGAGTAAGAAAACTTACATTTGGAGCACTAAAGAAAGCATTTTTCTTAGAACCATGTAGTATATGTACCGGTTTTACACTGGACTCCAGTTAGAATAGATGGTCTTCTCTGTTCACCTGGGAGGTCTCTTGCAATTCCTTTGTGTTGTTTAGGCTTCCCTCATTTGCTGCTGCTCCTCTTTTTGAAAGCAAATATTCAGGAGGTTGTTTTTATATGCCTTTATTTTATTTTTTTTTTTAATGGACATATTTGTTGTATGTTAGATCTACGGGCACTGTCTCAGAATTATTAGTCCCATTGTAAAACTGTACATTTTATTTCTATTAATGAAAATTTCTAATAGAACTCAATCCACAACAGGCTGCCAGGCTACCATTGATAACTTCAGCTAGTGCTTTTATTGTCTACTGCTCCCTTCCAGGTGACTCTTTGTTTGTCTTGCTTGTTTTCCAGAATTAATAGTACTATAGCTACTCACATCTTTTGATTAGCTAGAGACTTAATAAAGCTATTTATATCCTATTTTTTATGGATGGCTTCAACTCTAGAAATTGCTTACTAATTGATTTCAGGATGGATTTGCTTGTGGCTGAGGAATTAATGTCTGCAGTGGCTCTTAGATGACAAATTCTTTCCAATAACCATATTGTGTTTGGACTTCACTCTTATTTTTAAGAAAACAAATAATATGATTGGCATAACTAACCACAGTTGAGGTATTTCTTCAAAAATATGGCTCTAACATTATTTTATGTATGTAACGTTGTGTTGTTACTATTCAAATCTTTCTCTAATGCTGGACTGGGTATGAGCTAAATTAAACTGTGCAGAGCAGATGACTGGATATAAGGAGGGTATTTTTCCTCATGGGCGTGTTGAAATACTGGCAGAGGTTGCCCAGAGAGGTGGTGGATGTCCCATCCCTGGAAACATTCCAGGCCAGGTTGGACGGGGCTCTGAGCAACCTGACCTAGTGAAGATGTCCCTGCCCATGGCAGGGGTTGGACTAGATGGCCTTTAGAGGTCCTTTTTACTCAAAACTATGATTCTGAAAAATCAGCTATGAATTTGATCAGATAATCAAATATGAAAAGCAATGATTCTATGAACGGGTCCTGATAGTTTGCACATGCTTAGTATTTCATTGACTGCTACAGGGGAAGTGTTCAGGCAGCCATGTATCACCTCCAGCGCTATTCTGCCTTTCTTTGTTTCTCTACAGCAGCAGTAACATTGAGTTGTCCCTGATCTTGCAGTCTGTAGTGACCATATGAGACTGTTTTTTTCACCTGCATTGATTTGCCGGTATCATGGCTCAAAGGGCAGCTTGGCAGCCTGTTCTGAGACTCTCTGCTTTCTTTCCCACCTGCTGACACCTTTTCTGATGGTGTCTTTGCCTTTTCTAGAGTCACCATGCAGGAATAAGCAGCTACATAGGCAGCCTAAAAATACCCTTTAACGCTGGCAGATCCATTTGGTTCAGTCCTCTGTGAGACCTTAAAGGCATAGCTGCCTTTGTCCAGTGCCTGGATCCTGGGTTGTTTTTTTTTGCAAACAATCTGTTTCTCCTAAATTAGTGGTTTTTGTGCCTTGCTCTTGTGTAGAAATGCAGCTGTGAGTCTGGGCTCCTGTTGCTTGTCAGAGATCAGCATCTCCAGGAGGCTGCTGGGATTTGCATGGGAGGTTTTGGCCACTGTAGTGTGTTTGTTTTTCTGCTTGCTGGAGTTGTGCATCTGCCAGATCTTCCTCCCTCTAAAGAGACAGGTTACATATGGAGATGCGGTCAGTCCCATACCTCTTAGTTTGCCCTGGGCCAACAAAAGTCTAATGCTAACGTGTCAGGCAGACTGCTGGGATTCTTAGTCTTCTGTTAATCTCCAAGAAGACTTGTGGCATGTGGGGATGGCAGTTTATTCCCTTGGTGCTTTCCTGGAGGGCATTTGTAGATTTACAAAGGCCTCCAGAAAAGGTTCAGAGGTTAGCCTGAGGTTTAAAATGGGACAGAAGCGTAACACAGGTGCTGAAGTCAGAGGTTGGACCAGGTTTTAATGGTTACAAAGCTCACTGGATCCCTAAATTTTCAGACAAATTATCTTGGTTATTGAAATTTAGACTTATCTGCATGCGTGAAGCTGTCCTGCCAGGTGGAATCTCAAATCTGTTGTTATCCAAAGAGGGGAGTGTCCTGGGTCAGCTGGGATAGGGTTAAGAGAGAGATGGGGAAGGGATCTCCAGGTGGGTTATTCACACTATGCTGATGTCAGGTACGGGCGCGGGAGCACGGGAACTTTTTCCTTTGTGGCTTTGGTAGAGGGGAGCATGCGAGTGAGCTGTCTGTAACCAATTGTGGTATTTCTCTTTATATCTTTTGTCTTGTTCACTGTTATTGCTGTTTATTGCTGTTATCGTTGCCACTGTTGTTGTTCAGATTGCTTATCACACGTATTAAATTTCTTCTTATTTTAACCCGGGGTTTGTGCCCTACTTGTGTCTGTGGTCTCCGGTCCTGGCAGGGCTTAAACCACCACAGGGAGGAAGTAGGACTTAAATTTTACCAGAGTTCCTGGGATGGCCCAACCTTTTTAAAAAGCATCTGAACATATATGAACTTCAATGGCACTATATTTTCACCTTCCAGGCTGAATTCAATATTGGATGCTATTTCTAGGGGACATGTAGAGGTCTGGCAGTTGCTGGTGCTGTTGGTTTTTTGGTTATAAAGACACAAGCAGTTGCATGAGCAGCACTCAGGCCCCCTTTTCCTAAAAAAGTCCATGTGCTTGGTTAGAGCTGGGCTCTCACCGGCTCCTAAGATCCTCATATAAACCTGCAAAACAGCCCTACATAAAGAGGCAGGAAGGACAGCATCTGTTCTGAATATTTGTGGTTGCATAGTCTCTTTGGATTTTAAAATTTTAAGCCCTTTGGGTCTGCTCATGTGAAATAACTTTAGAACGAGTAAGCCTTTCTGTCAGGCTTCTTTTGTAGAGGTTTTGGAAAAGGTTCCCAAGAAAAGTCCTCTTTAGGGCAACTGGCCCCTCCCTTTTGTAAGGACTTGGAGGAGGCATAAAGTGGCAGTGGTCCTCCTCTCACCTTATGGCTGTTAGAGAACAGGCACAGGGGAAACATCAGCAAGAGGGTCCTCAGCTTCCCAGGACTCGTGAGGTTTCTCTGGGACAGTCGAGACACAATTGTGTGCAGATCCCAGCCTGACACCCAACAGACATCAGGGGGGGCCTTTGAATTGTTCATTGCTTGTGGCTCAATGCACGGGGACTGAACCCCTAGGGAAGAGGGAGAAAGAACTGCAGTAACTGCCACTAGAAGGAACAAAAAAAAAAAAAAAAAATCATCTCATTCTTTACATGAAGTTTTCCTATTTCCCACTGGGGGAGTGTGGGGATTCAGAGCTGCTATCCTGCATTCAGCAGGAAAGACATCTGTCTTTAAGACAGAAAATTATGCAAGGAAAAGAGAAATGCTTGATCATTACTAGCTAGTCACTTTTCTAGTCTGATTAAAGCATATTTATTCATACCTTCATTGTCTTTGTACTTAATGAGGAGTCAGGAGATGGCACTAAAAATAGTAAGCACTTTGTACGAATATTTACCTGTGTATGCTGTAGCTGTTAAGACACATTAAGAGGGTTAGACATTGATGGGACACAAGGAAGGAGGAGATCAGTCTGTTTATTCCACTTTCAAATACACATGTTCTTAATTTGAAGTGCAGCTCTTGACGTAGTTCTTACATTATTTATTATTATTAGATACCAATGCCTTCTCAGCATATTTATTTTGTTAAATTACATCTGAAATTAAATACAGCCTCTTGTCAACTTTAATGTTCTTCTGCCTATTCTTATAATTATTATTGATAAGAGGTGACCTTCAAGTTAACAGCATGTGGCTTGGTAAGGCAGTCATTATTATGTTACCTGAGTGCTCTTTGGAAAGCTGAGTTCAAGGGCAAATAGTGTTTCCTCCGGAGTGTGGGATGCTGAACCCCCATCCTGCAGACTGCTGCTGAAGGTGCTGTTTGTGACTGTAGTGTGCTCAGCTAGCATCTGAAAAACTGCCCCAAAACTGTACCCTTGTGGACGTTTGAAATCAGTAAGCATGGCGGTTTTTGGGGGTGCACAGGGGGGTGCCTCCTGTGTTTATTTTTGAGTCGCCGGAGGGTTTCTGCTCCTTCCGTCTCTGCTCTTCTCTCCTGCTCTCTGATGCTCTTCTCCTTATATATATATATATTTTAATGTATCCCAAAAGCAGGTGTGCTTAACAAAGCAACCCATCTGCAGGGACCTGCATGGTACTGAGTAGATGCCAGATGAATACATTTAATGCATGAAGCTGCTAGTTCTAAGTTTTCCTTCTTCTAAGTTAATAAATCAGTTTTATTAAAATATGATTTTGCTTTAATCTCTCAGATCTTAAAGAAGAAATAAAGCTTGGCATTTCTGGCTTCACCTCTTTCTTGATCTGTTCAAATATGATGATTTTGTATTTAAGAGAGCAGTCACGCCCTCATTTTAATTCTCATATCCAGATCAAACTTAAATAATATCTGTGGGTACGGTGGGAGAAAGACCTTGGAAGAAGTAAGTAAAAATTCAGACCATTGGGAATTGTTCAAAAATACAGCCTGCAACTAAGTATTGAACATCAAACCGTATGCTGTTGCTGAAATTCACATTACATACACAGTCCTGCTGTTGATAACATCCTCCAAAGGTGTTTGAAATCTTATTATCATCTATAGAGTCTGCAAGTACACAGTTCAACTGGCACAGAATTTGTACAAAACCTGCCACTGGCTGCAGCATTCTCTCTTCGATGCTGTCAAAATTGACGTGGAGAATTTTGGGGCCTTTCCTTAATGTTATATAATAACAAATCAAAATATAGTTGAAACAAACAAACAAAAAAATCCCGCAGCCCCTTCCCCAACTTACCACTGACAGGGCATTAGCAAGAGCTGCTCCGGAGTAGGCACAAAATAATGCTGAAAAAAGAAGACCAAAGACAGCTGGAGGTGAGGAAAGTCCCGCTCATCTTTCCAAAGAAATTATCAGAAATAGTAATATTATCCAAATGCACTGTGAAGTATCCTCGCAGCTACCTAATGTGAGGGATAATGTTAGAATTCAACAATTAGTTAAAATGCCCCAGTGCTGCATCTGGTCATGTGGACTAAATTTGGTTTTATCTGGTCTGTAGACATGGCTGATGAATGAAGAGTGTGGGTTTGGTTAAGAGTAAGTGACGGTGGTATTTCTTTTATCGGTTGGCACGACCTGTGTGCAGTGGGGGATTATTGAAATTCTCCACCAGTGTCTGTCCTGTGGCTGCAAACCACAAGCGGCGGCCGCAGGATGTCAGAGGTGGCGAAGCAGGAGGTAAGGAACCCAAGGACAAAGCCAGGGAAGGGAAAGCTACCGAGAAATCCAGAAACTGCACAGGACAGAAAACTACTGAAATGCAAATGGTTGGAAGCCGGGTGAATCTTCATGGGAATTTTATGTATGCTACGCTGTTCTTAAACTCTGTCCATAGAGTCTGTTTCTGGATGCTCTTGAAGATGGGATCTTGGGGTAGATGGGTCTTAAACTGACCTTGTGCAACAGCTCTCTTCTTACGACACTCTTCCTCTAATGATAGCTATTGAAAAGTTCCTTCTATGAATCTTTTGAGTTGCTAATTTGTTAAACTTCTCATGGCATAGCCTGTGCTGCTGTCACAAACAGTACCTCCACCTTCTCTAGATGTTTTCATGTTATCGGGGCCTAAAAGCCTTTGTCTGCACTTGCAGCTTGCACAGCCAAGCTCAAACCTGATGCCATCCCAGAAATAGCTCTTGTGCAGTACCCAGTTTTGCAGCAGAGTGGTAGTTTGAACGCGCACTACTCCTAGACTGCCCGCCTGCATAAAGTTTTGTCTTCCCTTTGCGTACATACCACAGGCAAGTGACAGCAAATGAGTCTGCCAGGTCAGGGCGTAGAACATGCCCCCAATCGCAGTGCACGCGAGTGCGCAGTTGTAATTGTGTAAGCCAAGGTAGATGCTGTCAAATGGTGATGCAATGCTCAGTGCTGCAAGACAAAAGGCAAGGCTGTGAGGTCAGGTATGAGAGGTATCTGCGGGAGGACCTGTCACTTGCTGGGGATCTGTTGTCTCTTCCCTATGACATCTAGACAAATGTAACCACGCTCACACTTGCGTAGCAAGCACGTACAGAAAAAGGATGATATCAAACGGAGTACCAGTAAAAAGGAGAGCACAATATGTAGTGCACAGGCCACCTCCATATCACGCTTAAGATTAATAAATTTCCTGCTATAATGCCTTCATTTGCCTTCTGTTTCATCACCATGCTTCTTCCCAGATACTTTCCCCTAGCTTTTGTCTTCTAGATTAAATGTCAGACCTGTACAAAATCTGCCAAATGCTCTTAATCATACAAATTGTGGGTAATTTCATTGAAAAACACAAATATAAGGCAGCTCACATCTTGTACAAAGTGCTTCAGAGCACAGGGAACGTATTGTTGGATGACTCTGACTTTTCTAAGGTTGTTGTCCCAGACTACACTTATTCCATCATATTATTTTATTACAATTGGTCACATAAGTGGCATTAATCTCGTCTAACTTCAAGGGTAAGATTTATCTCTCAAGACTGTTTCTCTGGTTAGTGGAGAGACAGACCGTTTTGAGTGGCATTCTTTTAGCTATTTTTACTGATCTGCAGCAGGATAGAGTGAACTGCATCCTAGAAAAGTCTGTTTCTTTTCATTGACTGATCAGCTCTGAAGCAGACATCTGCTTATCGTGGTAATCTAAAACAGCTGTGGTGCTAAGAGATCAGTTCTGAAACTGTTTCTCTAGGTTTCCTTATCATCATCTCCATGGGATTCATCACATCCAATGGCAGGAGGGTTAAGCAAGGTGGAACAAAGCACCCGCCTGAGTTACAAATCTTGTAACAAATTCAAAGCTTAAGGAAAATCTGCTTCTGTTCTTGCCTTCACCATGTTGTGTGACCTTTAGTAAGACCTTTAAAATATAGACACAGTTTAAAAAGTGAGAGTGTTTTCTCAAGTACATCCAAGCCTATAAAACTGTAAAGTCTGGACACAGTCATGGCTTAGGTCAAGATACCCTAGTTACAAAAGTGTCTGGTAAATATTTCTTACCTGCAAACATCCCCACTGTCGATCCAATTGCAGCATGTAAACAAATAAGCGGGGAGGAGATAAGTAAAGCAACAAGGATGATGCCTCCAGTCCAGGGGTTGTCACAACCATACACTTGACCAACACCGACTGGGATGGACTGCAAGAGCTGCAGCAGCCAGTAGAAGAGGGCATGTTATTGTATCTCTGTACTCAAAAGGACACAGCAGTTATTTTGTCCAAGCTATTGGTTGAAAAGGAAGGAAAGGAACTCTGGGTCTGAGTTGGACTGCTGGGAAATGTGGGCATGCATGTCCTTCAAAACAGAGTTAATTCATTGTGTGGTTTGAACTTCATCAGTCCAAGATGGACTTTTGTTTCTCTTGGGATGGCAGTATGGTGGATAGGGGATGGCAGAGGGCTTGAGGGTTTTTTGGTGACCTCAGTGGAGGAGAAAAACTGTAACCTTCATAGGCAGTGATACTATGGGGGGGGCTGGTTGGTTTGAGTTCCTTGTATGAAGTATATTGGTTACCCTTATGCTGCTTTGGGAAGGTGATCTTTCAGTGCTAGAGCTGAACGGAGGGGACTGGGTATAAACGAGTCTCTGTCCCTTTAGGATAATGATGTTCCTTCTGTCTTTTCATACTGTCACTGCTCGTTTTGCTGATATCCTTTTAACCACATCTGGAGAGTGGGAATACGTTTCCAGATGTGCTTCGCCATTGGCAATACTCAAGACTTGTTTCAGAGCAGTACAACTTTAGGCAGAATGAGAGGTTCAGCATCTCTGTTCACTCAAGCTCAATCAGCCTTTCTGCTGGATCAGCCAGGACTGTCTGTGGGGCTTCATGGCACTGCCCTCTATGGACTGAACCAAACTCTGTATTTCTGAGAATTTCTACTGGCTGTTCATATCATACAGCCATTCTGACCCATGTGAAAGTGTTATCCTGAGCTGAATGACTTTGTGCTCCCCTTTTTAAGGAAATAACATAAACTTGTTGGAGTGAAGCTTACCAGTGGCACATTGATTGCCGACCAGGTGATATTGGGCACTGATGCTACAGGCTTGATGAGGGTTGTAGGGAAGAAGGGGTTGTAGTGTCCTGTGGCTGCCAAGTACAAAGTCACGGCAATATTGAAGGGCAGAGTGAAAACAGGAAGGTCCCATTTATTGAAGATGGATCCCAAAGCACTGGACAGGATTGGACTGAGAAGAGAAACAAGTATAAGTTGTTCATAACAATTATAGCAGTGAACCGGCCTACCGTTTTGGTCATAAGCTCTGGTAAATGGAAGCTGATGACATTCCTTTTAGAAACATCAGGTGGTGAATACCTTAATATGTTAGTCTGCATGAGACAAATAGTTTCAGAATGCTGCTCATCAGTTTGAATAACTGTCCCATTCATTCATGGAGGGTAAGAAATCCACATCCTTTTCCCAGGACAGTTGGCTGGTGTGCAAGGGCTCTGCTTAAGTTACGCTGAGCTCAGGGAGCCAACGAAGAGATGCAACCAGTACAGTATTTAGGCACAGATGGAGAAAGGTGAACTGGTTTCTTGTTCTATACAAAAAATCTAATAGGAAATAGAATTTTGGGAATGCCACATGAAGAACTTTGGAGCACTCTGGATGATATAAAAAGCTCCCGTCTTGATGAGGCAAGAGAGAGTTGGGAATGATGTAATTTGCTTTTTGTGTGTTAGTTTGAAGGATAACAAAAGATAGCCCTAGAAGAGAAATAAAACAGAAGAGGTGATCAAAGGGGATGGAAAATCTTCCATTAAGAAAGGTATAAAATATTTGCTATGTTAAACACTATTCTGGGGGAATGAGGAGTCCTTAGGACACATGGAGCCTGACAGAATGCAAGATGAAGTGACTGCTGTAACAGAGCTGTGAAAGGCATTGTGACAGACATGACCCAGACTTTGGTTGGTGTTTCTGCTTATGTCAATGAGATTGATGTGCTGCCCAGGTACCACCCAAAATCATAGAGTATCTTCTGAAAACTGAGCTTAGTTCTTAAGAAACACGACTGAGTACATTTAGCATGTAAGGTATTTGGGGCGACCCTTAAAATATTTAGAGATCGAACACTAAAAAACATGCAAACCTTGAGATACCGTGACTTTTTCTAAAGCTCTTGGATGTAGAACTTCACCAGATTTACTTTCCTTAGGACATTTCCAGACTGCCTTATTTCCACTTGAAGTGGGTGTCCTGCATGAATGACTTTGTGGGAGCATATTGGCAAGACCGTATCTGTTTTTTATGGGGGCCAGAAAGCTCGTGGAAGAGAGTGAATGGCCAGGCCCTGCCCTTGATGGAAATGGCCTATGTTCTGCTGCTTCCAGCTGAGATTTTCTGGTATAAGTGAGCTTAATAGCTCTTATGGTCAGCCTCCACGTAGCAGTGGACCTTGCAGTTTACAAAAAATTCAATTTAAAGACTTGAACTTTTGAAGAAGCTGCATTTGAGTCCTAGAAGGTCATTAAGCTGTTTCTAATAAGAAAAAAACCCCCACCCAAACTATTTGGCATTTCAAAAGCAACATCTTGCGTCCTGTTGTGTAGATACTATCAGTGGAAAAAATGCTTTGTTCTCCCTGTATAATCTCAGATGAATCCTATTCTTTTATGACAAATTTGGTTCCCAGAGCACTTTACAAATTTCCGTGCTTGTAGCTGTAGGAAAAGAAAATCAGCATTTCAGTGAAAATGGTGTCCTAATTTCTGTGCTGAAATACAAAGCTTCTGCCAGTTATACATCTTGTCAGAAAAAAAGAGAAACAATTAAAGAAATGCTGACTTCTAAAGCTGAAATTCAAAGTGTTAGTTAAAAAGATCACTGAAATGTCTAATTTTAAAATCTTTTGGCTCTAGCCTTGCGTCTTGTGAACTGAAAGAATGAAGAAAAGTTTGAACAAAAGGCCTTAAGGAATTCTGGCAGACAAGACAAAATAAACATTCTTGCAACATGTCCTGGGTTTTGAAAGGTTGTTACAAAATGACCTTTGCTGAGAGTGAATAAAGAAATAAAATATAAAAACCCCTGATCTTAAAAGCAGTGAAATTCAAAAAACGACTTGCATCTTATCGCTAACAGTGATTAAAATGTGCATCTTGAATTAATTTTGGTTAAGGCTGTTAAATAGATTCTGCAGTGCTGCTGAGGTTCATATTTATAAATGGTAAATTTAATCCTGAAAGGACATTGTCTGGCATTTGGAGTTACTGGGAGGAATTAATTTCGCTGGTTGCATATCTGAGAGAGGGAATATTGAATTCAGCCCGAGGAAGAGCACGGGGGTTGGTTCAGCACCTGGATGAGGAAGGGTTGTTGTGGTGTTGGGCACGATGACATCCACCCTGAGTGTGTCCTGCTCAGGAGGGTCGTTTGCAGAGTGTTGAAGTGGGGGCCCTTTGCCTGTGTGCTAGAATCAGCACTGTCCTCCTACCAACGTGCCTCACAAGGTCTGTGCATCAATGAATGCCTCTTCCCAGAGCCACCGTGGCTGGAGATGCTGGTGTAGGGAACTGGGCGGAGGGGACTTCCAATGTGTTTAAGCTGTACGTAGCAGGACTTCTCATTCCCTGAGAATTGTCCCTGGAGAAGTAGCACTTACCAGGCCATTGATATAACTGCCACAGGAGGAAGAAGCCACCAGTAGTAATTCCCTTTGTCAGAGAAGACGGCCATGAGCAGTCCCACCAAGATCCCGTTATAGCCGTGCAGCCCAGCTGCAATGGCTGATCTGTGATGGAAAGAAATGTTTGCAAGGGAGAAAGCTGGGCTGTCACAGGGACCCACTGAAATGCAATTTATACGTGTCCTACTCCTGGTGAAGGGAGGGTAGGGGAGGGATGAAAAAGCAGTGAGGTGGCTGCAATATTGCATTGCACTGGTGTGTGGAAGGGGAGAGTTTGGAGACTGTTGAATGATGATGACCTAGGGGACTCCGTGTGACCCAAAAGACCTGTGTGGTTGTGACAATGGCTATCAGAGAGAGAGAACTGTCTGGTCTCACAAAGACAGCCAGCTATGGGGACAGGCCAGCTCTTCCCGGACCACAGATCTGTCCTCACCTAACTGCTTCCAAACCATCCATCAGGAAAGCTGGTTTGCTGTCTCTAGCATAATCAAATGTGGGTGTGTGACCCTTCAGTGGGTTCCTGATGCCGTAATGATAAATTTTTATTAAGTACCTGGATGTGAGGTATCACCTACCTGTCCTGACCAAGGGCCAGCGCAGTTAATGTCGACACAGTCATTCCAGTACAACCTGTGAGCATCCACCAGGGGCTCTGGATGAAAAGCCCTACTAAAATGACCAGCCCGCTGAAAGGGTTGTTGACAAACATCACCTGAGAGGTCCCTCGCAAGATCCAGTCCACCAGTTGAATCATTAGGGGTTTATCTGGAGGAGATCAAATGAAAATTCTGATGATATGGCATAATTTCAGCAAGGCATGCTCTTTTCTACAAGTCGTTTCCTGGCCACAGAACAGAGGCGATGTATCAACAGGACTGTAAAGCTGGTCTCTGATTTATTGCTGTCTGAGCATATTTTGCATCTGGCACTTGAAAAGATAATAGGGATGGACTGGGCACTGCTGTAAAGTTCATGGAAGGATTAATAAAAACGTGGTTTATTTATGGTGGTCAAAGAATGGTCTTGCATGGTAGATTGCTTAAGATTCTGCTATAAATTGAATGAGGAGATAGTCCCTTTTTAGTGTATAATTCAGATGCAGAGAGAGGCTTAGGCAAAGATTGAAGCTAGTTTGTACATAGATATGGAAATATGAAAAGGAAACACTTTTGCTGTTTTAGGTACCCAGAACATGGATATACACTGTACATAGGAGATGAGGTCAAGCTGTCAAAGGTGCCTAAAAAAGTACTTTGGGAACCAAAGAATCTAAATTAAGAGAACAGTTATTATAGCTCAGACTGTACTCAGGAGAAAGAGGCATTTCCAAAGGACAAAGAGCCATTGCTCTTTAGAGAAGACTACTGAACCCAGACAGAGCAAATGGGCACCAAGCTTGGGTACCCCAGGTGAGTGGAGGGGGGAGATGGGATGTGTGTGGGGCTGGGAGCAGCCAGTCTGAGGGCATCTATGTACAGTGATCCTAGTGCTCTCCATGGGCACAGGAGGGTCTTCAGCGTTGCAGTGACATTTTGCTGCTAGCTCTTCTACTGCAAATTGACTTAATTTATTTATTTTATTTTTTTTTTTGCCACACTTCTGGGAAAGGTGTAACCACTTCTGTACTGCTGTGCATTGTTAAACATGACGCAAGGAGAATAAATGAGGAAGAGGGGCTGCTTGCAAGTACAATAAGTTCATGCAATATGTATATGCAGCTTTTATCTTCTTAAATATTTTAAAATAATTCAATTAGTTTAGAATATTAATTAGACACAGCATAAAGTGCTAGACTTTTTGAATCTGGACAACAACTTATTCCTAAAAATTCCTCTCTCCCCCTCTCCCTCCCTGCATTGTGTTTACAGTCAAGGCTCAAGTTCTGCTTTCTGATGAAAGCAGCTGAAACAGAGGATCTCTGAAGTCCAGGTAGCACTCTGCATCTCTTCAGCATCTCTGGGAGACCCTTCCCAAGAGGCTGGAGTGCAAGTTGAGGGTGGCTTCACAAGCATATCTCAGGCTGTGCATTGTTGGGGAGCCAGGAAGTTACAAGTGGGGAGGAATGAGTTCCTTAGAAAAAAATGATCAGACTTTTCTGGAATAATTATTGCTAGTATTTGGTGTTGAGCTATGAAATATATCAGCAGTGCTCTTGCTTTCAGACAGAAGTATTAACTATAAGTACTGTTATATAACCAGTGGCCAAAACTTTTGGGGACTTTGAGTAAGAAAAGCTGTCTACCAAGCATGGACCACTAGAGCAAAGACAAAGCAGTAGGAGATGATCCCCTGGGGCTGGGACCACACTGCCAGCCTCCTCACCTCCCTGCCTGGAGGCATCTCAGCCCACATCCTCCACTAATGATAGCCAGTGCACAGCCTGGCTATGTGTGGCTGTCTCTTATTTCCTTCCCATTGCTGGAATTGTACTGCTAACGAACCTAACCTTGACAGAGGACCCACAGTCTTACACAGCCTGTCAAAGCCCCCAGCCCCTAATAATTCTGGGTAACACGGACCATCTGCTCATGAATCGTTCCTCTCTGGACAGTAAACCTTTGAGATCAGTACTTGCTTTGTGTTTTATAGCAACATAACAGCCACAATGCCTATTGCTCCCCCAATGCTGGTAATACAAGAGCCTTTGCCCACACAATCAAGAGACAAGTCCCCTTCGTCAGCCCACACACGGATCAGGAGACAGTTGCTGATCCAAAGTACTTACAAACAAGACTAAGACCCCAGCCCTGACGTGTGATTCTGGGCACTGCTATAAGGAATGTGATGCTAATGGCACATAACTGATTAAGTGTAAAAGATGTCTTCTGCCTGTGCCGAATTATGCGTGCAGCCATGGTAATAGCAAGAGGATGTAGTGAGATTCCCTTCCTGAGAACGAGATTTGGGTTAAAAGTCCAGAAGTTTGCAGTGAGCTTGGACTACGCTGCCTCTGCTCTGCCTCAGGAGGTGAAATGGCCCTTGCATCTCATGCCCCAGCACTGAAAGCACTGTTGGCAATATAGATGTTCTCATCTTGCTCTTTCGAGCCAGAGAGTCCCGAACATATCCCTCTGCTTACTTTTCATCCACTCTCCATATTCTTTCATTTCTCCTGTGAGATACCCCAAAACTTGGTGGATTCGATTTCTGCTTCTCCCCAGCAGGTCCTGGGCTCTTGGTTTCTGCTCTGCATACAGCTGCCTCTCGCCAGGACGTTCAGCCACAACGATCTCTCCGAGCTCCATCTCTTTTGGGTGGTGAGAAGAGGTAACTGTAAATCACAAAGTCCATGTGTTAGAAAACCTTTTGGGTTGTGCCCTGGCAACTTTTTGCTGTACTTTGGAGACCCGTGGTGATACCCCTTTTCAAAGATGGGATTTTTCATGGGGAAGGGATCTGCCTGAACCCTGCCTGAGACTGATGTGTGCTGCTGCCCAGGGCAGTGGTGTCTCCTTTTGGGGATGAGGACCAGATAATGACTCGCTGCTATCATAGAGCTGTGGCACAGAGCTACAGGGGGAGAGAGGGATGTGGCATAGGTGCCTTACAGCACCCCACCCTCATTCCAGCTCCTGATGCAGCGTGTGACCAGCTACTGGTTGGACAGGAGACATCACATTTGCCACGTAACCAAGTGGTACCTGCATACTGACCCGTGCTGCTTGGCCAAGTATAGCTGCTGGTTCAGTTGCTGAGGAGGAAGCCTGCTGATTTTTGGCTAGCAGTGAGCTGGAAGGAAGCAATGCAAATTTCCAGTACCGTAGAAGCCAGAAGGAGACAAGAAAATATGAGAGGAGAGGCTGAAGACTGCAACCCTTTTGATGTTTTTAGCGGGTGCCTTTCCATGTTCCTCATTCCACATCTGCCTTTGATAAACCATCAAGAGCAAACTGGGGTAGCATCAAAGTATTGCACAGAAATCAGCATCCGCATGTGACTTTAGACAGAGATAAGCACTTGGCTTAGGGCTGCATGCTCTTTAGTTAGCAGGTGACTATTCCGCGGGACTGCGGGTTTATTAACCTCCCATTCACAGTTGCAGGGCTCTGTTCATTAAAAAGTCCGTTAAGATATTAACCCGTAAGAAAATACACCGCGCTGCACCCTGGTGAGCTGCACTGCAGGTTACATCTGCAGAAAGGCCACCCCGCTGTCTAAGGGAGTCTCTCATCAGCTGTCCCGCGGTTTCGCTCTCAACGGTTTTGCAGAAGTGTGGCTGGGTTTCCAGGTGCGGTCCGAAAGTGGACTGTGCTGTGAAGATCTCGCCCTGTGTTTCGTGGAATATGGACACCACCTTCCGGTAGGAGCCTGATTTTCGGTAGCTCAGAGTCTGGCTGTCGGCGTTAAAGCCTGCAGCAGCAACAGGACGGGCTGGGAAAGGGATGCCTGGCTGGGGGGAAGGCTGTTTTGCAGAGGGGAACACTGACAAGCAGACGGTAACAATAGCTGTGGCTTTGAATGCCCTAATGAGAAGGCCCTTGAGCATCAGAAGATGTTTTCCTTTCAGCCCTGGCTCCGTGCAGCCGTGCAAATGCGTTCTGCAGAGCCTGTTGTCTGGCGCGTTGGCTCTCTCTGCCGGCAGCCGGTCCCCACAGCAGCAAAAGTCTTTGTGATGACCTTCACGCACCAGGACCAGCATCAGCCCGCGCCTGGGTGTGCTGCCAAGCGATGCTCTTAGGGGTAACTATAAAAACTAAACCTAAGCATCACTCCCTTCGCTTGATCCTAAGAGTGAGGAGGGTGGTAAAAGGTATTTGGTGGTCTGAAGCAACAAATGTGGTCGTGCAAGGAGGAGACACCCCCAAAATCTTGCTCCTGAGTGTCTCACGGGATCGTGAGTAAGGAGGCTCCCCGGTTCTGCCCAGATGCACTCACTGCAGGAACGTGCAAGGAGCAGAAGGAGAGGGAAGGGGTGGGTTTATTGTCCCTCTTCACTTTTTGCTATCAGTAATCTGATTCTGGCCAGAAGCTGAGTCCAATCCCTCATTTCAGTTTAAGGCAGCCTTGGTGACTGCCATTTTTGTCTAGTTCCTTGTGGCTAATCAAGAGGACATTTGTGTAC